TTGGAAGCAGGCCACACTCCTAGGGAAACTCCCTTTCAATGGATTGGCTGCTCAAAACATATACATCCAATCTCATCATGGGAATAACCACATCATAACTGCTTAAACCACTCAGAATTGTGGCCCAGCCAAGTTGACACACAACCCCTACTATCACAGAGCATATGGAAACCTGTGCATGTTTTTCTCTAATTTCTGTATCTTTTTCTCTTGTTGATCTTATCATATATCCTTTCACTTTAATAAGTCATATCTATGAATACAAGTCTTACTGAATCTCTAAACATAACCTTAGGGATTCCTGAAGCAGAATACTACTCAGCAATTAAAAGAAACAAACTATTGATACATACAACAAGAGGATGAGTCTCACATACATTATGGTTAGTGAATGAAGCTAGTCTCAAAAGGCTACATACATATAGTATAATTCCATTTATATGACATTCTGGAAAATGCAAAACTAGTTACAGAGAACAGTTCAGTGGTTGTCAGGGAATACAAATGAGAGAAGAGTTTGACTACAAAGGGTAGCATGAAGGAATATTTTTTGGGAGTTGTGGTGGAACCATTCATTATCTTAAGTGTGGTGGTTACACAACTCTAAGTATCTATCAAAATTCATAGAAATTTACACCAAAAAGTGTAAAGTTTATGGTATGGAAATTAAAAATAAATTTAAAAATATGATAAAATCAGTTGCCTTTCTACATATCAGCAACAAAAAGAAAAATTAAATGAAAAATCATATAATTTATAATGGCACCCAAACCATTAAATATCCTGGTATAAATCTAATGAAGACATGTAAGCCCTCTATGCTATAAAACATAAAACACTACCAGAGCTCCTAAAACATTATGTTGTTGTTGTTATTTGCTGTCGAGTTGGCCCGACTCATAGCGACCCCTCCTTGGGTTTCCGAGGCAGTGGAGCTCTGGTGGCATAGTGCCTAAGGCATTTGACTGTGAACCAGAAGGCTGGAGGTTCAAATCCACCAGCAACTCCTTGGAAGGAAGGTTGGGCAATCTACTTCCATAGAGATACTGCCTTGGAAACCCAAAGAGGGGTCACTATGAGTCAGATCTGACTCAATGACAGTGAGTTTGGTTTGGTTTGGTCAAAACATTATAGAAAAATTAAAAAAGACTTAAATGATTAAAGGGATATACCATGTCTATGGATTGAAATACTTTAAAAGACATTAACAATCCAATTGAAATCCTGGGACATTTTTTAAATTGACAGACTGATATTGAAATTATAGGGAAATGTAAAGAGCCAACAATTTTAAAGAATAACAAAGTTCGAGTACTTCCTCTGCTACATATCAGTATTTCTTATAAAGCTATCATAATTATGTCAGTTTGGTACTGGTGAAAAGTTAGACAAAGAACAAAATAGAAAGTCCAGAAAAATGATCCTTAATTTATATACATAGGTCCTTGACTTATGACAGAGTTTGCACAAAAGTGCTGAGGGAAAATTAAAATCTTTTCAATGGATGGTCTTAGATCAGGTAGATAGCCATATGGAAGAAATTTAAATGACCTCTACTTCACATCAGATACAGAAATAAATTCCAGTTAGAGGACAGATATAAATGTGAAAGTTGAAACAAAAAAGCTACCAGATGGTAGTTTTGGAGAATATTGCTATGTTGCTTGAGTAGGGAAAGTTCTTAAACAGGATATAAAAAACTCCATTGTTAAAGAAAAAATTTGAAGATTGGACATTAAATATAACTTCTATTCATCAATAGATATCATTACTAGAGTAAAAGTGGGAGAATTGTTTGCAAAATGTTATCACTGACAAAAGTCTACTATCCAGACTATACTTTATATATATATATATATATATATATATATATATATCAACAAAGAAAACACAATTAGCAGAAAATGGGAATGACAGTTGAATAGGCACATCACAAAACAGAATAACCAAAATAGCTAATCAACAATGGAGAAGGTGCTCAGCCTCTGAAGTCATCAGGGAAATGGAAATTAATATAATTTTGTAATTATATAATGGATATAATTAAAATGATTGACAGTTTCAAGTATTGGTGAGGATGTGGAGCAACAGGAACTCTCTTACACTACTGGTGGGAGTGGAACTTGATATAACCATTTTTGAAACACTGACAGTCTCTATTAAAAGCTGAACATATACGTACCATATAATAGCAATTTCACATAGAGGTATATGCCCATCAGAAATAAGAACATAAACTAATAGTAACACAATTTGTCATTGCCCAAACCACTAAGAACCCAAATATATATCAAAATTAGAGTGAATAATTTTTGATATGTTCTAGTGGTGCAGTGGGTAAGGCATTTGGCTGCTACCCAGAAGGTTGGCAGTTCAAACTCACCAGCTGCTCTGCAGGAAGAAGATGAAGCAATCTACTTCTATAAAGATTTATAGCCTTAGAAACCCAATAGGGGTTGCTATGAGTCAGAATTGACTCGATGGCAGTGAGTTTGTTTGGTTTTTCATATAATAAATTACTACATAGCAATGAAAACAAACATACTGCTGTTATGCACAACAACAAAGATAAATCTCATAATCACCATGTTGAGCATAAGCCAAACACCAAAGTTTAAATGAATAGTTCCATTTAAATAAACTTAAAAAAAAAAAAAAAACAACTAATCTATAGTGTTAGAAATATTCCCTCTGGGGAGAAGGGGCTTAGTGATTGGGAGGGAACATGAGGAGCTTTTAAGAGGCTGGTAAATTTCTATTTCTTTTCTTGGATGGTGGTTACTGGGTATGTTCACTTTGTGATATTCAGTGAGCTGTACACTTTGGATTTGTTCATTTTGCTGTGTTTATCTTATTTTTTAAAAAAGCTAAAGAAACAAACAAAAAAAGGAATCACAAATTAGATGATATCATGTCATAGTGAAATGAGTTCCTTTATGTGCTCTTTTGCCTTGGTTATTTGGAAACACAGCTTGAGAGATTTTGTTTTGTTTTGTTTATTTTACCTGCTAGGTCTTTGCTCTTTTTTTCTACCCTAGAAGGTTTGTCACTTTTGTCCACATTGAGTGACATTTCCTGGCTAAGCTGTAGACAACTTGGTTTTCATACTTTTGTCTGGCACTGGGCTGCAGCCTGCCCTATGATTGATAAGCACCTTGCTGGATTGGCCCTACAGATTACACAAATGAGGTGAGTTGTAGCCTACTATCCAAATGAAGTATCTGGAGCCTACCCAGAGGAGATTGATTAGTTCATGGTTCTGATGAGAGTACTATGCCTTGAAATTTACCAGGAGTTTGTATATTAAAGCATCTAGACCCACAGAGATTTGTCAGACAGAAAGCAGCAGGAAGAAGCAGAAGGTACAAAGAAGAGAGAACAGAGAAAGAGAGGCATAAGGGATCTACTAAAAGAGCTGTAACACAGGTCAAGGGCTATAACACTGAGGACAGTGAGAAACCCAGAAGGGGTCCAGTGTTAGAGCTAGTGGCAATAGTTGGCAGGGCTATTAGGAGTCTGTCCTCAGGGGGCCCGGGGAAGCCTATCCTGAAGGGGCCCGAAAGGAGCCTGACCTCAAGGGGCTGAGAGGAGGAGCCTCTACTGAGAAAGTAGGACTGCACAGGTAGGAGGAGCTGAGAGAGATGTCCTGCACTGAAGAAGGGAGACATTGGCTATATGCTTACTGATCCTAAGTTGGAGCCTATAAGTCCTGATCCCAATTTATACCCTGTTACTTCCTTAATAAACTATTCAACTATGAGTCTGCTCTGGGAGTTGTGTTTGGCCATTGCAATGGATTATTGGACACAGCATGGAAGTAGAGATTACCATGGGGAGGATGATTGGAGACAGAATTGGTAAACGGGTTGGGGAGTAGAGGCAAGTCTGCTCTCCATCTCATAGGAATCAGCTTTGGGTTGGTGTTGTTCATTATCCCCCATGAAGCTAGACAGTGCTACTATTACTGCCATCATTTTACATGCACCCTTTCCTAAAGCCACAGAATGATACAAACTCTGATACAAACAAGGATCCTTGGTCTGGCTCTGGCCTACCTCTCTGTCCTCAACTGACATCACACTCCCCCTTCTCCACGATGCTCCAGCCATGCTGGTCTTCTTGCTGTCCCTCACACAATCTAGAGTCATTCTTGTCTCAGGGCCTTTGTACTTGCTGTACCCACTGCCTGATATTCTTTCCCCATATCTGTTTGTGGCTGCTGATTTCTCATTCTTCAGGTCTCCATTTACATACCATCTCCTCAGAATCACTTTCCCTGACCCCTCTGCCTAATGTGGTACACATCCCACTTCACTATACATTCTGTCCTGGGGGGAGGAGTAAACATTTTATATAAATGGCCAGACAGTAAATATGTTAGGCTTTGCAGGCCCGGTGAACTCTGTCACAACTACTCAATTCTTCCATTGTAGCAGGAAAGCAGCCATAGATAGTACGCAAATGAATGGATGTGGCTGTGTTCCAATGAAACCTTGTTTACGGATAATGAAATTTGAAGTTCATATAATTTCACATCATGAAAATACTCTTCTTTTCATTTCCTTCCCAATTGTTTAAAAATGTAAAATTCATTCTTAGCTCATAAACCAAAACCAAACCAAATTCACTGCCATGAAATTGATTCCAATTCATAGTGACCCCCATTGGGTTTCCAAGGTAGTAAATCTTTACGGAAGTAGATTGCCCCATTTTAGCCCATAGGCCACACACACACACAAACAGGCAACAGGGCCAGATTTGGACCATGAGCAGTAGTTTGCCAACCCCTACTCTAATCCATTCTGATTTATTTTCTTCTGAGTCTTTACTATTATCTAAAATTTTTCATTTGTTCCTGTGTTTATCTTCTATCTTTCCCCTCCCCTAGATCATAAGATCCAAAAGGGAGGGGATTCTTCTGTCTTGTTTGCCATTATAACTCTTCTACCCATCACAGCATCTGAAACATGAAAAGGGAAGAGATGAAGGACTCCACCAACCTGGATACGACTATGGCCTTGGGTTGGATTCCGGTGGCCTTCTTCCGAGTGGGGCTCACAGGAGCAGACTCAGACTCTTCCTTAGAAGACTCTCCAATCGAGGATTCTGGTCGTGCCGAGTAAGATCGTACAAGAAGTTCTCCGGAGAATAAACTCAGCTTGCGGATCCGGTCAGGATGAGGCCCAGATTTAGTCTTGAGCCGACCAATCTCTGCCTCATCTTTTATAGGATATTGTATGGTGAACAGACCTGTTAACAGAGTCTCCATCAGTCTTCTTTCTGCCACCAGTGTACCTTTTCAGCCCTGCCTCAGCCAACATCCCTGGCCTCCTCTGCCTCTGTTCTGAAGCTTTTAACACTTGAGGCCTCATCAGAACATCTCCATCCCCACTTCTTCACTTTCCTGGCTCCCCTGCCTGGGATGCCTCACCTCTGCTGCCTAGCACCGTGTTCCATGCCTAGTACAGATGTTATTGTTGTTAATTGCCCTTGAATCAGCTCTGACTCATGGTGATCCCATGTATAACAGAATGAAAAAACACTCCCTGGTCTGCACCATCTTCATGACTTTTGATATACTTGAGTCCATCATTGTGGCCACTATATATTTTGAGGGTCTTCCAACCTAGGGGAATCATCTTTCAGCACTGTATTAGTCAATATGCTAACCCTAGTACAGTTTTGATCAGTAAATGTTAGCAGGCTATAAAAAGAAGACATCCCAACTTTCCTCATTCTCCAGACTTGGTGCAGACCTCACTCACTCCACAAGGCCTGGCTTCATTCAGCATTGTTTCCTCCATTGCACCCTCTCAGAGGCTGAGTACAGAGGGAGACCTCCTTCAGCATGCACTCCTGACCCATGCTCTTCCCATCCCTGACAATTCCCTTCCTCCATTACCAGATTTAAGTCATTTCCATCTACTTCCTTTGTTGTGTTATATTTGTTTGCATTTTTGTTTTGCTTCCCCTCTAGTCTGGAAAACTTCTGAGGTCAGAGACTCCTTTTTCTTTATCCACTTACCAAACATTTAGTGGATGCTAGATGCTGAGCATAGAGGGATGACGTACCCAGAGGCGGTGGGCAAATATTCACAATGCTTGGAAGTAAGCTTTATAATTAGAGCACCTATAAAATGCTATGGGCACTCCAAGGAGGATGGAGGGTATGACCAATTCTGCTGCGGAAGTCATGGAAGGCCTCCCAGAGAGGGGGGATTTGAACTGAATCTTTAAGGGCAAGGAGCAATTCCTCAAGGAGGTAGCTTTTGTATCTAGCAAGGGTGTGACACATTGTCTCAAGGCCTATGAGACATGAGGAGGAGAGCTAGACATGGAAGGGCTTCTGTGGCCACCCACGCCTATCTGGGGCAACTCCATGGGCCCAATAAAAACAGCTTGGGGAGATGACTGCCTTTTTCTCTTCTAGTGAGGTCCCCCCACAACAAGGGCAAAAAATGGATAAGATGATGTGGAAGATGGGGCTGAAAGGTGGCCGAGGTGTGGGGCTGGGAACAAGGAGTAATAAAGAGAGACAAAGGAAAGTAACGCAGACATACAGAGACTTAAACAGACATACAGAGAAAGCTCTCAGAAGTTGAAGTTGGCGAAGTTCACTGTTTATTAGCAATATGGCAGTCGAAGTCTAATGCCCAATTTACACCTGGACAATCCTCCCAGCCTTGGCCACACACTGGAGGCTCAGACTAAAGATGAAGCAATCAATGGGAGCTGGGGAGGGGCGTTGTACTATGAGACAATTTGCAGGGGACCCGTCTTCTCACCCCCTTGTTACCTGCTGTCAGCAAGACAGAATTCATGAACTGAGTCACCGTCTTCTGAAACCGTTTCTTGATCTCAGCCAGGGCTCGGCTCATTTTAGAAATCTTGTCGTCGAAGCTGCTGATCCTGTGGGTCATCTACAGAGAGGGATAGGGGAAAGGTGGTTTCCACTTGTCCTGTCTGTGTGGAAAGTACTTCTCACATCCATGGATTCTGCCACAGACCCTGACCTGACTCACATAGCCCTGCTTGGGAAGGAGGTTTTCCCTGATTTTACTAGGCAGAGCTGTCCCTTGCCTTGGATCCCAATAATGTTTCTGAAGCTTGAAGGCAGAAGTAATTAATTGTATTGAACCTATATCCCCCTCTATACTCTAAACTCCTAGAGGGCAGGGATCAGGTCATGATCTCTACTATGGGTTGAATTTTGTCCCCCCAATAGCTATACTTGTGGCTGTATGCAACACAATGCACTGCCATTGAGTGGGATCCGACTCACAGTGACCCCTCCTTGGGTTTCTGAGGAAGTATCACTAGAGAAGTAGATTGCCCAACCTTCCTCCCGAGGGGGGCTGGTGGGTTTGAACCTTCTGGTTAGCAGTCAAATGCCTTAGGCACTTGTGGCTGTAGTGTACTGTAATGTAATACTATGTAATATAATATAATTGCCTTCCATAATGCAATCTGATATAATGTAATCAATCAGTTGCAGTCAGACCAATGTAGGGTGAATCCTAAACCTAATAATTTCTGAGTTATAAAAAGAGCAGCATAGACACAGAGATAAGCACACTCATGCACCTGTTGTTGTTATGTGCCGTTGAGTCGGACCCAACTCATAGCGACCCCTCCTTGGGTTTCTGAGGCAGTATCACTATGAAAGTAGATTGCCCCATCTTCCTTCTGAAGAGTGGCTGGTGGGTTTGAACTGCTAGTCTTCTGGTTAGCAGTCAAGTGCCTTAGGCACTACGCTACCAGAGCTCCCCATGCATGGACCTACTCCTCACTTATTGACTATCTCGTTAATCAGATATTTCACATTTTTGACAACTTTGAAAAAATTCTCAGCTGGCATCTCTGATGATCCTAGACTATGCAGGGCCACTGGATCCACTACCAGGACCAGGAGGCCTGCCATGAGCTATCCTGAGTGACATATCGGAGGCCTTGGTGACAAACACGCCACACAAAGGATGGCAGCCACCAGATGTCTCCTCCCTTTCATCGACAACATCTTTATTTGGCCACAGAGGGTACAGGACAATGGCCAGATAATGCAAGGTTGCAGGCTAGCAGGGAGAGGCTGAAGGTGCCAGAGAGGTTTGGTGGGGGGAAGTGAGAAAGGAAGAGGGGGGAAGGGGGCTCCACAGGGCTGCAGGGTCAGGGTGGATGGAGGACAATTTGGGCCCCCACCCAGGGCAGGTGGTGGGAGGAAGTGGGCAGAGGACAAACAGAGTTCTTGCCCAGGGAAGGCAATGGGAGGCAGCCGACAGCAGGCAACACCCAACCATAACAAAACCCCCGACCCCTAAAGCCACTGCGAAGAATACATGGTAGAGAAGGAGGCCTTATCATGCTACAAGAATCCCAAGATGCACCAGGGGCACCTGACAGATGATGAACAAAGAGGAGGTTAGGGGAGTGGGAAACCAGTGCTGAAGATGGTACACAGTCCTGACTCTTACATAATGCCAATGTCACATGATGACCTGGTCTTTGAACCTAACCATGTCTATAAGTGAGGACTGAATGTACTGGTAAGACAGATGTCATATGAAAATCACCAACATGGAATGTCTGGGACTACCAACAATGAAGGAATTGACATGATTGGGACTCTGATTTGGACTTTTAGTCTCTAGAACTGTGAGAAAATAAGTTTCTGTTCTTTAAAGCCACCGCCTTGTGGTATTTGTGTTATAGCAGCACTAGGTCACTAACACAGCATCCTTTGTGTCCTAGTGCCTGTCATGTGTTGTTGTGGTTAGGTGCCATAGTTGGTTCTGACTCATAGGGATCCTGTGTACAACAGAACAAAACACTTCCTGGTCCTGCACCGTCCTCACAATCTTTGCTATTCTTGAACCCATAGTTGCAGCCACTGTATAAATTCATCTTGTTGAGGGTCTTCCCCTTTTTTGCTGACCCTATACTTTACCAAGCATAATATCCTTCAGGGACTGGTCTCTTCTGACAACATGACCAAAGTAGTTGAAATGAAGTCTGGCCATTCTCACATCTATGGAATATTCCAGCTGTGCATCTTCCAAGACAGATTTTTTCTTTCTTCTGGGAGTCCATGGTAATTTCATTATTCTTTGCCAATACCACAATTCAAATGCATCAATTCTCCAGTCTTCCTTATCCATTCTCCAGCTTTCATGTGCATATGAGGTGACTGAAAATACCATGGGTTGGGTTAGGTGTACTTTAGTCTTCAAAGTGACTTCTTTGTTCCTTACCACTTTAAAAAGGTCTTTTGCAACATATTTGCCCAGTGCAATACATCATCTGATTTCTTAACTGCTGCTTCCATGAGTGTTGATTATGGATCCAAGGAAAATTAAATCCCTGACAATTTCAATTTTTTTTCTCCATTTATTGTGATGTTGCTTATTGATCCAGTTGTAAGGATTTTTGTTTCCTTTTGTTGAGGTGTAATCAATAATGAATGCTGTAGTCTTTGATCTTCATCAGTAAGTGCTTCAAGTCATCTTAACTTTCAGCTAGCAAGGCTGCTCATTTGCATATCACAGCTTGTTAATGAGTCTTCCTCCAATCCTAATGCTGTGCTCATCTTCACTTAGTCCAGCTTCATATTCTCCACCACTTGTCTGTCACTTTGTTATACTGTGGTGGCTTGCATGTTGCTGTGATACTGGAAGTTATGCCACTGATATTTCAAATACCAGCAGGGTCACCAATGGTGAACAGGTTTCAGTGAAACTTCCAGACTAAGACTGAGAAGGATGGGGTCATCCATTTCTGGAAAAAAAAAAAAAAAAGGCCACTGAAAACCTGTCATATAGAAGGTTCTCAATAAATGTTCATTGCGTTAATAAATAACTGAATGGATGAAGGCCTCTTGAAGCTGCCAGTCTCACCCTGTAGTGGATGCTCTGATGTATTCCCCAAAGAACCTTGTGCTTCTCCACCTGCTGACAGCTCTCAGCAGAGAAACTGTCCTTGGCCAAAGGTCATACATGGTGACTGGTCATTGTGGGGACAAAGACCCAAGCCTTTTGTCTCAATCCAAGACTACCCTGAAGGATCATTCTGGCTCCTGGGTACTGTGGGATCGTTGATGTCTTTGTTGTGACTTCTTTGCAGCTCTACCTCTCTGGCGGCCCAAGCTAGTTTCCTGAGTCTTCCCCAATAAATTCCTGCACTCAAGTCTCCATTTCAGAGTCTGTTTACCAGGGAATCTGATCTAAGATGCCCTCTGAACCACTGGGGCATCTCAGTGGTACTGCAAAATTGGTTTCAAATTCCAGAGGTATTTGTAGTCAGGACCTGACTTTTTTTTTTTTTTTTTAAAGTGAAAATACAAATTTATCTCCTTCCTTTTAAAGTGAGATCTCCCTCTTTGTTACATGGCTTTTAGTAATTCTCATGGTTTTTATTTTTATTTTTATTTTTTTTTTTTATTAGGATTTGGGTGAAGATTTACAGAGTAAATTCACTTTTCATACAGCAGTT